AAACAATGCAGAAGTTCCATAACAAATACAAATCAAAATACTTACAAAGCAAAATGTAGCCAACAGTAAGGCAGTGAGTGGCAAGTTGGTATTGCTGCTGCTGAATAGATATCGACAGCTGATGTAAAGTAGTATGCATTTGTATGAGTAGATATCGCTAGTGAGGGTGGCATACCGCCCCCAAAAGTACAAAATAGAAAAGCATAAAAAAGAAGTGAATTGCAAAAGTTTTGCTTTTTCGCTATTATTTTTGCATATTTTATGCGATATTGACGTTGATAAGGGTGACTGAGCGCATGGCCGTCGGCGTATTTGGTTGCTTCGTCAACATTGCTGCTACTGCTACTGATCGATACAACCAACTACATACATACATAACTTTGTGTGTGCCACATTGCCTAGAGAGTGGAACGATTTTGCATTTGCATGCTGATGCTACAGAAGCTGAAATACCCAGTGAGAAAATGGTTTCACAATTACGGCTGAGTGAAAATATGCATGGCACTGTAAGCGAATGGGTATTGCGTAGAAGCAAAGCGTTAAACAAAGATTTTTGAATATAATTAGGATTTTTTATTTTGTACTGCGACCAGGAGATCTATTAGATCGTCTTACTCCATGCAACGCCACATTCAGTTCTAGCTCCCTTTGGAAATCTAACCGATTATTTGGTAACATCGAGAGTATACATATGTTTCTGGTCTGAGCTTAGTGACCAAATGTATTTCTCGTCTCTACTACAACGCATTCGAGGAGCATGGGCTTAGAAGTTTTAACTGCATTTGTGGCTATCGCGGTACTTGGCTACACTGTTGTTTTTTTTTTTTGAAAATAATAAAAGGAGTGCTCAAATATTGATCTTTAACTTGAATTAGTTCTATGTTTCTCTTTTTTGTGGCTCTTTGTACATTTATAAAGCTAAATGCGGCTCTTATTAGCCCTCAAACTAGCCCAAACCTGCTTTATACATTACCAAACGTTCCCTTTTTCGCACAGGGCAGTGCCTGGTAGCAAAAACATGCATTTGTATGAGTTACAAAGTCTCGTTACTTTTCTGTTGCCAGTTAAGCTGTCTTTAGCTGTTGGTTGTCAATGACTCACAAGTAATAATATCCAGTGGGGATACAAACTTTAATTTAACTAAAATTGGTTCTTTGCTCGAACGATTAAGTTGATTGGCGTAGAAGTATTGTTTGTAGTCATAGCGAGGGATTTTAGTATTTTAGTGTTAGTCAGGTTGATTTAGAAAGTTTGGCTTTTAGTTTGTCGTTTTTTTTTTTTTTTTTTTTGAATTGGTATTTATGTGTACGTACCCGAAGTGACCCAAATGCAAAATTCATTTTAGCAAACGAAAAGGAGAGTAGTGAAAAAATATATTTTCGTTTCCATTATCTAGCTTTTCAATAGCATTTCCTGCAATTTGCCTATACATATGTATTTGCTCAAGGATTGGCGCTGAATTGAGGTAAAATTTTCTTGATTTTTGATCTATGTATGGATATAAATGTGAGTTTGTATGCAGCCTAAATACTCCAAATCTGCTTCGAATGAGTATGGTTGTAGGAGTACCATATGACCCGACTTTCGGTGAAACAATTCTTTAAAGTACAGTTGGCAGAGTTCAAATGCATTATGAGATCGATACCCACTACTCCAACTAGGGTCCTTCTAACTCTCGCCATCATCCTGCCTTTATACCTCTACGCTAAATATATGACATACTAAAGTGCAGTCAGACAAAATACTACGGCAAAGGCTAGTACTTACATGGTTTTGTACGATCACTCAGAAATTCTAGACTTCTGTCGTTTCTACTCGAATACTATACTAATCGATAACAATACATAGATTCGCGCTAGGAATCAGACCGCTATAAAATCTAGGCAGAATTTACCAACCTTATCTGAAACCGCAATCGAATTCAACGATATACTCTGGATGAGAACAGCAACTAAAATTTTACCTTTCCTAATCTAGATTATATTAAAAAAAATCCTTAGGTAATTTCGTAAAAGTTGAAATTTAGATACCTGAGTTTAATGGTAGAAGACGGTGGCTTATTTAGGTCAACAGGATAATAGTATTTAAAATTACAATTTGAGGCGTTTTATCCGGACTCTGAGGCACTCGCATAGGAAGTGCTAGATGAATTCCATATCCTCCTCTATAACTCGACATAAAAATTTATGCGGGACTCCCAACCTGGCGATCATGTGACCAATACTCCGGGACATTGAGCAATGGCCTGAGTGAGCGCGATATATCGCAAGCACCTACATATGTAGATTAATCCAGCAACAGTTGCCAGTTGCCCTGGAATCTTCTCAAATTGTGATGACAGGAATCACAGAGAAGGTTTTACACTCAGAACCATTTCCTTTAAGCCTACCTCAGATTACTTTCCAGCACATTCATCGGTTTACGGGACCCAGCAAGCATTTGCTATTGTCTATCGAAAAGCTTGTAGGGATCTTCGGCATTCCTGAGGGCATACCGATTAAGTTGCTACTGGCCATAGGGCTATGGCGACACCGTGACTATCTACAACGAAGGCAAAGCTAAGTCAATTATGCCTGCATAATCTCAAAAATTTGTTGCTGATACTAGATTATGTTTCAATGTGCATTTTGGAAGTTCCCCGTTCTTTTTTTTTTAATATCCACGGCTGAGTGGGAGATCGACCTACTGGCAGCTGGTTCGAAAACGCCCTATCTCAGAAAATGGCTCAAGAATACCCTACTTCAGAATTTTATTGAAAAACCTCCAGAATTTGGTTCAAAAATGCCTTATCTCAGCTGCCGATATATTACCGTTGGGATACGGCGAGCTAGAACCATTTGCTGAGTCCGGGCGTTTATCAATAGGGTGTACTTGAAAAATTTGCCGTCGATATGTACCTAGTCTAAAAGATTGCAAGCATTTTCGAACATAATTAAGCGCATAAAATGCAAAGGTTGAAAGGAAAGGAGCCTTCAACTCGGCAACTATGGAGAAACAACGAAAGCACGGGTATAGGGAACATAATGGAAGGATGGAGTGTAGAATTACTTGCCTGCGCTCGGAATGAAAAACCAGGGCAAATGCGCAAAAGAGAGAGGCAATTGGCGAAGTAGTGCCAAATAAGAAGAATACGTTTCTGGTTCCTCTTGGCGTAACCTGCACTCCCAGATTTCACAAGTACTACATTAGACTGCAGTGGCCCATAAGAATGCCAATAGAAATTCCCAAATACTTTTTTGTCAAAATAGTACGCTGAAGCGGTGGGCGACCATATTTTCATTGTCCCCTTTATTAGATTCTGAGTCGATTTTTTTTTTTTGAAGTGAAACTTCTTTTGCGGCGCTTGGTTGGTTGGTAGTAAATTAGCAAATTCAACAGAAATTGTACACGGAAATGGTGCAACGGAAATGGTTGGGACGGAAACAAGTGCTTCTTGAGTGTATGTTATTAATTTAACAAAACAAAAGATTAAAAAATAACACGTAGAAAAAGACCAATACAAGAATGAAAGTAAACGGTGAGTGCGTACATAGATAAAGAAAAGGATAAAGGCAAATATAAAAATAAAAACAAAAATAAAGATGCTTAAAGATAAAGGCTAAAATGAAGACCAAGGTAAATTTAAACACTTTACTTATGTAAGGGCAAAGGTGTGGGGGAATATTTAGATGAAGAAAATGATAAACATAAAAATAAAAACAAGGATAAATATGAAGAAAAAGATGAGGATGAGGATACCGATAAAAGTAAAGATGAAGATAGCGAACAAAGATTAAAATAAAGGTAACTATAGAGAAAAGAATATAGATAGAGACTCAATCTGGGAACTATTTTGGGATTTTAGAGATTTTCTGGATCCTCGGGCTTTGTCGATATAATAATTGATATTTTTATCGGGTTTTTATCGATATTTTTATCGATTTTGTTATCGAAATTTTTATAGATATTGTTATATATTTTTGTCACCGTTATTTTTTATGGATATTGTTGTTGGTTTTGTTATCGATTTCGTTATTGATGTTATTATCGAATGTGTTATCGGACGTTATCCATTATTTATCGATTTTGTTATTGAAATTTTTATCGATTTTGTTATCGATGTATTTATCGACTTTTTTGTTGGCTATTTATCGATCTTGTTATCGATATTTTTATCGATTTTCTAATCGATTTTGTCACCGTTATTATCGATTTTGCTTTCGAAATTTTTATCGATACTTTTATAGGTTTTGTTATCGATATATTTATCGATTTTTGTTATCTACTTGGTTATCGATTATTTATCAATTTGGTTATCGACTATTTATCGATTTTTTTATCGAAACGTTTATCGATTTTGATTTCGATATTTTTACCGATTTTCTAAACGATTTTTTTACCAATATTATTATCGATTTTGCTATCGAAATTTTTATCGAATCTATCATCGATTTTGTTATCGATATTTTTATCGGTTTTGTTATCGATATTTTGCTGGATGTTACTATCGATTTTATTATTGATAGAGTATAAGGATAAAAATAAAGATATACGAAAACAGAATAACATAAATGTAATTAGAACGAACAGGTGTAGAGGTAGGGATCTAGATAGCAAAAATACAAAAAATATAACTTTAAGCAAAAGCAGATGTATGTATATATGTACATATGTATGTATATTGGTTATGAGATAAAATAGATATGTAGCGTAAGTTTCACTTCTCCAGTGTGCCCCAGGCGCACTTACTTTTTTTTAGAGTACTATCTTCCTTCATATGTCGTAAGTCGATTAATAATTCACATCTTGCATCCAAAACACACATCTACAAATATCACAAACTATGAAAATGAATTCTAGCTTTGCTATGAGTGACTAACTACTCGTTATTCATTTCATTTTTGTGTTTCTTACTATACCAATATCATAAAGTTCTTGCGAGGCATCTTAATGTTTTAAGCATTCATGGCGCTTTGTCTTTTGTGGCACTTATAAGTGTACTTAATTGTCTGCAGACGACTAAGACGAGAAGTTTTTGAAAATACTTATTTTACAAGTACATATTTAAGTATGTAAGTAAAATCTTTTGTTATCTTTAAGTCATTAGTACATGTACATACACATGTATATATATCTAAGTATCTGATACACTTAACTCATATGAGTTTGTTATACAAATGTTTAATATGTACTATACATACCTACATATGTAAACTTGTAAAACGCTTCTCTTCGGCAAGATAAAACAGAAGTTTTTGTAAATAAGCTACACAATACGCTCCAGGGCAGTGACAAAGAGTAAAAGACACAGTTCCAGACAGAAAATAAAATAGGTATATGTTGATATAGAAGTTCATATAACTCATGCGCGCTGTTGGCAAAACTTTTATCAGACTTTAGCTACTGTTTTGCGCAAGTTCATTTGCGTAAGTGCATTGATGTCTATGTGAATGTGCTCTTACTTGCATATGTCCTTATGTATGTATATATAAACATTTGCTCCATTTCGCATAGATGATAACAATCGCAATACAATTGTGTAATGTTTATTATTATAGCAAGTCACGTGTTGGTGCAACATTTGTTATGAATAAACTAAAACACTTGTAAAACTTTTGCTTAATCGCGTGTTGGCAAAAGTATGAAGATTTGAAGTTCGAAATGTGTAGTTTTGCTGCAGACTACTTCGTGAAGTTAAAAAGTAACCGAACTTTTCTTTTTGCAAAAACTAATGAAACAGAATAAGCAGGAATGCCTGACATTGCGGAAGCTAGAAATAAGTGCGCAGCAAAATCTATACATTTGTAGAATAAAATTGTAACAAACCAAATAAAAAATAAATAAGAATAAAATTGTACAAATCAAAAATTTTTTAGAATTTTTGTCTGTCTGTTTGTTTGTTTGTAAGCGCATCACTCGAAACCTAATGCGTGAAATTGAATGTCGTTTTCACCGATGTATTGCTAGAGGTCAATCTTAAAATATACAAAGAAAATAAATTAGAGAGGTGCCACCTGGTTGAAAATTGTAGTTTAACTTAATTGCTAAGACAAAGAAATATTGCAATATGGCTGTCAAAAGAAAAAGGTTTAAGAAGTATTACAATCGAAAATATTTTTGTGGACGTTGCCACATGTTTGTAATTTTTAATTTAATTTAATTAATAAGATAAATTAAATATTGCAATGTTGGTATCAAACTGAAGAGGATTAGGAAAGTTTACTTCCGAAAACATTTTTGAGGAGGATTGCCATTTGTTTGAAAAATTTTATTTAATTAAAGTGATAAAATAAGTGAAATATTACAATACCTGTATCAAACAATACAAAAATACTTTTAGGGCGCAGTGAAGCACGTATTTGCTAGTTATAGAATATAATACTCATACGTCATATGCGTGTGCTACGAATATAAAAGGTTTATACTCGTAAGCTAAAATTCGAAAATAACCAAATTCCAGCATGTGATCGTCGAGAAGCCAATGCATTAGTGGAATTTTGGTGCAGATTTTGGAGCGGTGGCATCATCGACCCATTTTTCCTTGAAAATGCTGCTGAAAGTGTCATTTCTGCCAACTGTTAAAGTTACAGAAACTACATGGACTTTGACGATCTTTGGTTTCAGCAACAAGGCGCGGCATGCCCCACAGCCCATGCCACAATCGATCTTTCGCGCGCTAAGTTCGGTAATCGTATTATTCCATTTCGGTGATCTCAATTGGCTGCGATATGATTCAGGCCCTTGAGGCGCATATCGAGCAAGAAATTCGTAAAATAGAGCCAGAAACCTTCATCAAGTTCTTGTAAAACTGGGATGAAAAATTAAGGTTGAAAGAACAACGAAATTACACTTGGTTATAAACCCCGGAAATATTTGAAAACTATTGCCAATTCAAATAAAAATGTTGCTAATTTAAATTTAATGCTTGAAAAGCTTGAATTTCCTAATTTTCGCAAAAAAAGTGTAAACAGCTTTTTCACTCCGCCCTTCGACCTCTATAGTGGCTTCGAAGTTCGTTCCAAAATGCAGATCCGTGATCACATAGTCATTCCGTCCAAGTGAAGTTGATGCTATACTACTGTGACCGTAAGACCTTCACCCAAACTGACCCGTAGCATAAAGCCTGGTGGCAGTTTTTAACGCTATATTCTTGGCCTATAAGTCCAATGGCAAGATATGCAACAAGGTGTAAAGTTCTGCCGTTGGTGTAGTTCTAAGTGCCCCTACGTTCATGGCCTACATTGATAGCCTAAAGGTATACACTTTCTATTCTCTTAAGAAATTTGTTCTTCTCAAATTCCGTCCACCAAACCAATACTCCATGGAACAGTATCGGCCTGATAATCGCCGTAAAGATCCAGTGAGAAAGAGATGGCGATAAATTCCAAGTGCAGCCACAGAAATTAAATTGGAAACGAGCTAGGCGATGGGAATTGCTTACCCTTTCGCTTCAAGAAGGCATTATTTTAACATGGGCCTGTCATTGGCCGTAAGCCCTTACCCGCAGCATTACCTTCGAACGAAGCGAGAACGCATAGATAAAGAGAATCCAGAGAAGGGAACAAAGAATGTCTTACAGAGGAACTAATGTAGAATGCCTAGATAAGCACATACCTATGTATATTAAATTGAAATCAGAAAATGTCTTAAAAGATTAAAATTAATTAAAATTTCAATAAATCAATTTTTATACATACATATGTATGTATTTAGGTATTTAGATTTTACTTAAAAATCGGTATGTACATACATGCATATTAAAATTCTACTTCTTCACTTCTGTACTTCACTTCGTTGACTGACTTCAACTTCGCTGCAAATTGAACAAAGCAAAACATGATTTTTATGCGAGACAAATTTCCACAGAAAGTACATAAAGTTTTAAAATGAATTTTTGGATATTCATTCTATTTTTCAGCTGACTACGATGCAGCATTGTACTTTGCATTCCCCGAAATGAAGCAAAGAAGCGAATTAAATGAAAAATATTTTAAGACAATCTACTTTGCATTCCCCGAAATGAAACAAAGAAGCGAAATAAATAAAATATTGTAGGACATTCTACTTTGCATTACCGGCAATGCCTAAAAGAAGCGAAAAGTTTCGAAGGCATTATAACGCTATGTCTTCTAGAACACGTTACCACTAAAAGCGATTACCGATTTTTTGCTAGGTATGATCAAGGCATATTATAAATGAAATAAAAAATGCACTGAAATATGCTTAGAGAACAAGTATGGGTATCAAATTAAAGAGGAAATTCTTCAGAATTTGAACAGATTAAATTCTTTGGTGCAGAAGGACTGGTAGGTATTGAATATGTCCTTTTAAAATTTTATCCCTGAAGTTTCGCAATATTTGTTTTTGAAAAAATTATACGTTAAGGACTTATATAAACTCGATAACATCCTCGAATTTCATCCTTCTAACCTAATCAGCTTAAAATAGGTAATTCGTCCTTGTGAATCCAAAAAATTTTAATTTTTCTAAATTTTAAAGAAATTTGCTCTTTCATTTGGTACTCATATTTGTTTTGTACATTCCATTGAATTTTTCAAATAATCTTTGGAATTAATCATATCTTTTAAATACATACCCAGTTTCGAAAAAGAGCCCTACCTTTAGTGGACTGCATGACGTATACACAACATCATGCTGAATACCGTAAACATATGTACATTTTGGTGAAATTGTATCAAGAAAAACAAATACACGCAATCGTGTCACAAATTATTCACTATGAAGAACTTTTCACACTAAAGAACTATAAAAAAGTTGCCGGTTTTTTTCCGAGAAAGTTCTTGAAATAAAGCACTCGAATATGGAGTAAAGCAATAGCAAAAATAGTATATAATACTTCACAAAAAAAAAACACACACACACAGGACAAAAGCAAAACGTAAACAGCAGATGATGCGTTTGCTTAATGGTGACCATAAATCCTCTTACGCTGGCTGCGTTGTGACATCCGAGCTGCAGCTGATGCAAGGAAATCAAGCTTTTTTATTACTACTTCTAGTTTTGAAAACTTGCAAACACGTGTGTATAAATTTATACATATATGTATGTACATATATACACTTATATTGTATCCCCCAGAGAGTAACTCTAAGCATGTCAAATTTCATGAGTAAGCAGGGGAACTGCAAACCAATTCCTGCACGCTCCTTGCCACATCCCTTTCTTGCTTTCTTTTTAAAGCTTTAAGTGTCTGATGCTTTTGTTTTGTCAATAAATCAATTTTCTTTATAAACCCAAAATGTGCGTCTGCAAACAAAATTCAAACATACATACATACACGCCCCAGCACAAAGCGAATTTCAAACTCTCAAGCTGTGCAGCAGAACTCTTTTGCCAACGACCCGACTGTCATTTTCATAACTCGTTTGCACATTGAAAGAAATTTAATATGCCACTACTCAAACAGCTGCCACCACCACCACCACCACCACCACCACCACCAGTGTCAATGCCACTGCCACTAACACTGCTAAACAAACAGCATGCAAAAAGCAAATCAACACACACACACCCACTCATACTTCTCAACCTAACCCAACCCAATAGCTGGTTGTTTGTTGTTAGCGCAACAACGGTGTTGTACAAATAAACAGATACAAACATTAGATAACATTTGCTACTTCTCCCAACTTCTAGACGCGTATGCGATCTGCTGCAGCTGACGTACGGGGCGTATGATAAACATTGCCGCTTGTCGTCGTTAGCGTTTCGCTGGCATGTTGATGTTATTGCCAAAGGCAGGACAAAGTATGTACATATGTACGTATGTATGTATGTGTGTACATATGTATTGAACGGTATTGATGTTTGCACACTTTTCATTCGTTGCTGCTGTTGTTGTTGCGGTTGCTTCGGTTGTGATTGCGCACTTTGTTGGCCTTGCGGCATACTTCATTGGCAGCAGCCTTTTTAGCGATACGCAAATTAATTTTCCAGAAATGAATGCAAAACTTTGCCGTGGCAATGGTGGCCGCGCCTGTCAAAAGTCATGGCACCTGCTAATATCTACGTGTGTGTGTGTGTGTGTGGCATGCAAACACAAATGGCAACCCATACTCAGGCGCATTTTAGGTAGAGGTACGTGGCGTGCTGAAGTCTTATCGACTCGCGCTCATTTCGATGGCTGCTGCTGTCGCTGCCAACTAAGCTGATTTGCCTGTAGTGTTTTATTTTGTTGCTACACACATACATATTTAGCAATGCAGTCTCGTTGTGGTCGTATATGTTTATTTATGGTGGCATGTTTGTACCGACTACAGATTCGATTTCAGATACGTGTCGTCTAGTCGAGACTTGCACATAACCTCGCGCGCTCGTATAAGTCAAAGGCAAATGGATTAGCCGATGCATGTAAGGTGCAGTGACGATTACGAAACAGATTTTCATGAATGTGATGAGTGTTGCAAAAACGTGAAAGTATTTGAGAGCAAGTAAATTTTAATTAAAAATTTTATTAAACGTTTTTAAGTAACTTCTTATTTAGTAGATTTGCGTGTAGACACCGGAAAAGCGAATGGATGGTATTACCTTAAACACGAAGTCATTAAAAAACTTCCATAATAATCAAATGAGCAAGTGATCAACACTATCAAGAGCTTGATTGCATTAGCAAGTACTAAATAGCTATTCAATCGAAAAATGTTGTTTTTATGAAATTATAATTAAATCAATTGATTTGAACAACGATCAACTTAAAAGTTAGTCATCAATATACTATTTACAAAATTTTTGGAAAAATCTCAAAGGAAAATTCAAAAAAAAAAAATAAAAAACTCAATTTTTTTTAACAATTTCTTCGAATAATCCAAATAACACTGAAAACTTGAGAAAATCTTCGTAAAAATCACGAGGTCCCAAAAAAAAAATCTGAAAGGTAACAACAAGTCGAATACAAAAATCGAATAACCAATGGAATATAAAGGTACTCGTATTTTGTTTTATTACATTCACAAAAAGATACAGAGAAACGCAAATAAAACGATCGAAGAAATCTCGAAGTGCAAATACTATTTATGTGTTAGTAACAATCGAAAAATGTTGTACGTTTATTGTAGTTTCTGTCGTGCCAGTTTTGCAGGGATGTTATTATGTGAACGATGTACAAAAAAGCGCCTAACGATATGTTTACGTAGTAAAAAGTTTATAAAAGGTCAGCTTTGTAAAAATTTGGACAAATGAAAAATCAGTCAGAACACTTTAATTCGACCCCAAAATCAGGACAAGTCCTGATAAATCAGGACATCTGGTCACCCTACACCACTTCGTGGTAATGCAGACAAATTGCCTTCACTACCACTTTTCACTTAGTGGAAATGCATTTCAAATTTCACGAACACTATATGGTTAGTGATTATAAATCTTTGAACAAACCTCTTGTAAGGAATGCTTATAAAATATCACAGATCGCAAAATTTTCCTAAAGCTGTAAATTATTTTAATTAGTGAAATTTTCGTTCCTTTACCGCTAACCAGATAGTAATAGTGAAAATTCTATTTCACTATTACTATAATAAAGTTAGAAGGACGAAATTCGAGGATGTGATAGTTAACATATTAGTCCTTGACGAGAATTTTTTCAAAAATAAAAATTGCAAATTTCCAAGGATATTCAAGGATCAAGTTTTAAAAGGACATTTTAAATACTTATTCGTCCTGGTGCACCCAAAAATATTTTTTTTTTATTCTACAGAATTTTTCCTTTTATTTGATATCCATATTTTTATGCTACAATGCATCGAATCTTTTGAATAATTTTTTTATTCAATCATATTCTAGAAATTCGAAAGTCCTTTTTAAAAAAAATCAGAGAGAACAACTAAAAATGCAGTTTTACTATGTTTAAGAGATAAGAACACTCACAGGAATACTAACGACGCACTGTAGTATGACTGGCCATATCCCTGCCAGCTACAGCGCCTCAACAACAATTTCAGTAGATGTTGCTGGGAAGGAGAAGCGGTAGAATACTCTCATCACATTCTGTACAATTCAAGCAAATCTCTTCTTCCTTTACACTGCACTTTGCTGCATTGTTTGCGGCAACGTTGTCATAGGTCACTTTACTTTTTCATTGACACTTAAATCACGGCTATGACTTTTCAATGAAAAGGGCTACTCGAACTGAGTGAATGTAACGTCATCATTTAGCCAACACTAAAGCTTGCCTGTGTGCGAGTCGCTGCTGTGCAAAATTGTCGCCTGAGTATTAACGCTGCAGGCATAGAACGGCAAAAATGCAATACAACTGAAAAAAGGAAGTTGCTACTAACTCCAATGATAGCAGTGCAAACTCAATAGGCCGTCACATGTACATATGCACAAAGAGTGCCTACAGCAATACCAGCTATAGTGAACAACAATATTAACAATTGGACTATGCACAAGGGGATCGTGACTATGCAACGCATCCGTATACACGCATGGATGACATTGATCGACATTTGTTGCGAGCTTTTTGCATACATATGTATGTTTGTATGTATGCATGTGAAAGCAGCTCCCAGCACAGGCTATCGTCAAATGACAGGCTCACGTATGCCTTTCTTTATGCCTTTCCGACTTTCCAAATACCCGAATCGACTGGCTGGCAGCATTTAGCCATGAATCAGTGTGCGAACAGTTCAAGCGTGTTGTACACAAATTCAATTGAAGTATGAAGACGCACGCACGAATTGTGTGGTATAAAGTATATGAGCGCTGGCGACAACAAGTGCTGAGAGGAGTGACAGTGGGAAGGAAGGGAAAATGACATTCGTGGGGAGTAACAGTAACATGTTGCATGAATGACTGCGGCAATACAAAATGCAGCATGACGATTAAATCAAAGAGTAGGCATTTTCGGGCTTCATCAGGAGTACCAATATAGACCTACATATGCATGTACTCTAGGGTGGTTCTTAAATGTAGGAAGAAAATTTTTACATCAGATTTCCTAACCTCAACCCCAACGTCGATGCTGCCCTTTTCGAAGATATCACATATAAATTTTGGTCCCGATTGGAGACGGCTAAGACGTGTCGCACAATGGTCAAATTTCAGATTACTCTATGAAGACGTCTTAACCGACTCCGATCGGGACCAAAATTTATACGGGATATACTCGACTTTAGCAGTATCGATTTTGGATATTAAATACAATACAAAAAGTAAGCGCGTCTGGGCCACACTGGGGAAGTGAAACTTACGTTACTTATCTATTTTGTCTCATAACCAATGTATACATACACACATCTGCTTTTGCTTATGGTTAAATTGTTTCTCTTTTTTTTATCTAGATCCCTACCTCTACCCCAGTTCATTTTATCTTTATACTCTATCGATAACAAAATCGTTAATAACGTCCACCAAAATATCGATAACAAAACCGATAGAAATATCGATAACAAAATCGATCAATATCGATAATAAAGTCAATAAATATTAATAATAAATAGCGATAACAAAATCGTTATATATATATCGATAGCAAATCGATTAATATCAACAACAAAATCGATAAATAACGAAAAAAAATCGATAAATATCGGTAACAAAATCAATAAAAGTATCGATTACAAAATCGATAATTTTCAATAACAAATCGATATAAAATATCACTAACAACAAAAAAAATATCGATTACAAAATCGATAACAAATCTATTAAAATATCGATTATTATGTCGATAAGTTCCGAAAATATCGATAGCAAAATTGATAATTATATTGCTAAAAATTTATATAACAAAATCAATAAAAATATCGTTAACAAAACCGATAAAAATATCGATTACTTTATCGGTGAGTCCCGAGAATCCCGAAAATCTCTAAAATCCCCAAATAGTTCCCAGATTGAGTCTCGCTCTATATCCTTTCCTGTTTAAATACCTTTATTTTAATCTTTCTTCCCCTATCTTCATCTTTACTTTTAGCGGTATTCTCATCCTCCTCTTTGTCTTTACTTTCACGTTTATCATTTCCTTCATCTACATATTGCTCTTCACCTTTGCCATTATATATGTATATAAGTAAAGTGTTTAAATTCACCTTGGCCTTCATTTTTGCCTTTATCTTTACGCATCTTTGTTTTTGTTTTTATTTTTACTTTTGCCTATATCCTTTCCTTTATCTTTGTACGTAGTCTCCTTTACTTTCGTTATTTTATTGGTCAGTCCCAGCCATTTCCCTTGCACCATTTCCGTTGCATAATTTCCATTGCACCATTTCCGTGTGCAATTTCCGTTGAATTTGCCAATTTACTCCCAACCACCCAACCGCCGCTAAAGAAGTTTCTCTTCAAAAAGATATTTTCAATGTTTTGAGTCCATAGAGGCATCTAGCCTTTGAACCCTTTGCAACAGGCCTTAACCGACTCCAATCGGGGCCAAAATTTATATGCGATATCTGTGAAGGTGGTATTACCAATTGAGGGGGTGAGACTGAAAAAATCGTTCATTTGATTTTTTAAGGACTACCCTAATGTACATACGTACAAGTATACATATGTATAAGTATAAAGCAACTCATCAAAATTTTCAACTAAAATGTTGACGGAAATTGTGTACACAAAACATTAAAAGTCACTGTCGCAAAATGTGGCTAAACGATTGAA